TTAATTTGTATCCTCTAGTTCTACCGTTCTCACCATTAATTTGTATTTGTATCCTCTAGTTCTACCATTCTCACCATTAATTTGTATTTGTATCCTCTAGTTCTACCATTCTCACCATTAAATATAAAAAATGAAGCACCATCACTATCAATTCCCTGAACAATCTTATATACCTCAATAAGATCCACTCTAAGTCTTTCCTCAAGAGATAAAAACTTCAGGCATCTTATCTTGTCCTTGTATGACAACTTTTCCATCCTAGGTATCACCCTAGTTGCCCTCCTCTGAACATGTTACAATAATTCAATCTCTTTCCTATGGTAAGAAACCCAAAACTGAACACAATAATCCAAACCTGACTGAACTAGTTACCTTATAATGAAATTATAACCTCTTTAGACTTGTATGGCTTAAGAGACTGATCAACCAGAACAAAAAAGATCCTTTTTTCCATACCACTGTTAAGGTTATTCCCATCAAAGTTATAAACAATTAATTTCATAAAATAATCAACTAATCAAAATTACTGCTTTTAAATATTTCAACAACTGGATAATTGAAGTTATGATTATATTGTCGGTCATGAAAAAAAAAATCAACTGATTGAAATTAGTTGTTCCAATTATTACTCTTATTGATTATTCCAACAATCCAAGTAACCAAAACATTGTCAATGTGTTTGTTTATTGTTCAAACATAAAGCTACATAATTGGGGGTAGAAGGGGGGGGGGGTGCCTCATGATCCGAGGGTCTCGGGTTTGATTGTCATTGCCACTAAACTTGCTCACCGTATTTGTTATTCTCAGGTTACTAAGACTATCTGTCATTAATTTTGAACTACTGACTAGAGGGAAGACAACTGGCTGCCACTGTCAACTCACTGACTCCTTAAGTGTTAAATAAAGTGTACATTTACTGTTTTTCTTTATATTGCGTTATGTTCCTAATTCATAATTGCATGACATTATTCTTTAATGTTCTATACAGAGGTGAAGAACCCAGACCACCACCGATTTATTTTTTCCAGAAATTAATAACTGTATTATTTAATGTCACATAAACAGGTGAAGATGTAGGGGACATCTAGACCACCCTCAAATGTTATCAAAAATTAATAAAAACAGCCAGACATCCTTGCACTACCATATAGTAAACTTAAATGATTAGGATTTTAATTGATTGGCCTATTAAATACCATAAAACCTTTTTTGAGGCTTTCTGAAATCCACACAGCTGGAGCCTACAGTAATCCAGTTGGGGCTTCACCCAATAACTGGTTATTTCTAACTTCATATAACAAGATTAACATCAAATAAATGTTGCCATGGTAAATTTTTATGCCTTGGTTTTTTCCATGCACTAACAATGTGTCTAGTCAGTATTATTTAGAACACCAACAGTTCTTATAACATAGAGTTCTTACAAAATTGAGTTTTCATTGTTTAGAAGTAACAATTGTCTTGAAAAAGAATATTTTTTCTATATCTAAAATAAGTGAAAATTCAATTGGTACAACTATACAAGTGACAAATTTTTGAACATAGACATCAAGTTTACCAGTACTACAGTTTTTATTTCTATATATGATTATACATAATTGTAATTTTTCTTAAAAATTTGAATTTATTTTTTCCTATCAATCACTTTAGTAGAAATAAAGATATATGCATCGAAATCACTACATTATAACCTGACTGAGTTAACCATGTACATAATATATTAATGTTATTTTCACTTTGTTTGACTTATTGGTTACTTTAGGACTTTAAAGCTGACACTGATTAATCCAAAATACTGTGGATACAAGACTCACTCATGGAACAAAAATACTAGCCTGCTGATTCTCCAGTTCACTGGATATAGCAAATGTAGTGTAATTGATATATAATGAAATATTCTCCTTTGCTTTTATGCACGAGGTATTCGAATTAGAACCATTCTTCAGATATTACAGATGAAGAGAGAAAAATAACATCCAGTAAATATAAGGGTTAACTTAGAACCATTCTTCAGATATTACAAATGAAGAGAGATAAATAACATACAGTAAATATGAGGGTTAACTTAGAACCAGTCTTCAGATATTGCATACAAGATTAAAAATTGTTAATTAAAAAGGGGGAATAGAGATCGTAAAAAAATACAGAATAAAGGTAGCTAGCTTAAAGTGAAAATGCAGTCATAAAAAAAGTAAAACAAACAAGCTTAAGGTTTGAGACACTAGATAAATAAAAAATAAGGAATTTAAAAATTTAAATTTAAGAATTTAAAAATAGGGATAGTAAACAAGGTAAACATAAAAGGCTACAAATCCCTATATGTAATTTTAGCTAACAGCATCAAGTCAAATTTTTTTTTTTGTATTGCGTCTCAAACCTTAAGTTGTTTATTTGTTTGCAACTGTATTTTCACTTTAAGATGGCTATTTTCTTCTGCATTTTTTTTTAATCATCCCTATTCCCCTTTTTAAGTTTATAAGTTTTTTCTTTAGTTTTTTATGTCCACCATGGACATAAATGTGTATAATAGCAATAGTTTAGTTTATTGAAATACGAAGTTGGTGTATAATGCTCTCTCTGGAAGCAATGACAACATTTGGACTTGCTTCATGCAGATTGGATGGTTATTGTTCCTGATGTCATTGTTACAATGTTATCATTGATAATGGTAATGTATGTATGAGTACTATGATACATGGTGATTAACATACCACATGTTATGTATATGCTTATAAAAGATATATATATATATAGCTACTACATTTACAACCTGTAGCCATACGGGGAGTCTGTAAACACTGGATTGTTTACATCCTGTAGCCATACGGGGAGTCTGTAAACACTGGATTGTTTACATCCTGTAGCTACACGGGGAGTCTGTAAACGCTGGATTGTTTACATCCTGTAGCTACACGGGCAGTCTGTAAACGCTGGATTGTTTACATCCTGTAGCTACACGGGCAGTCTGTAAACGCTGGATTGTTTACATCCTGTAGCTACAC